AACCAGCTTGTTAAAAAGAGTGAAACTCAAACCACAGTTTTGAAAATTACAGAATTCCTTCATAAATGCCCAACCCTCCCCGCGGCTATGCTGGGTTCAGGCTTGAGGTGAGACCGCCATACTGCAACATACATACATACACACACTCTTTCACACACACACACATACATGATGTATATATGCAGAAACAGCTAAAGGTATATGCCCACAAAGAAATGCTGCACAGAACATACACATTCCTTGACATACGCTTTAAGCACATGCACACATTTGCCCTAAGAAAAGAACGGGGTCACACAATGGATATATACACACATGCCCAATACACAAATACACACATATACACACAGGGGCATAGTAATAGCCTTGTGGCTACATCGCCCTCTTTCCTTCCCTTCTTTCAAACTTTAACCAGAGCCATTTCCTACAACAGCTGAGGCTGCTGCATAGCAACTGGTCAGACCTCCCTAGCAACAACAACATTATCACTCATTTGACCTCTTCATGACAGCAAAGTAGAAATGAAACATTTCCTATTTTACACACTGCTTTATAACGGATGTTTGAAAGATTTTCTGCTTTTTTTCCCCCAACGTGTTTGCTGAAAATTGTTATCAAATCTAAACAGTGTTTTGGCCAACAGTGCACCTGGTGACTCTGTAGATTGCTTTTCCAAATCTTTGAACTGGCAGGCAAATTGGGGCAGGTATGGTGATGCTGAATGAATTACACTTTCCTGTTTCTCTGCAGCTGCTGTTTAATTTCCCTCGTGTGTGCCCTCCTATCACCAAACCCTCTCCAGCCTGGCTAATAAATTGTAATCATTCTCAGCTGCTCCTACATGTAAAAGTGTGAAATTGCTTAAATCTAACAGCATTCATGCTCAGTCAACTTAGATAAGATTAAAACAAATTTGGAGGTGGACAGCCAGTCTTTCCAAACTACATTTAACTTTTGCAGCCGATACAGAGACACAGCATTTGATACTGGACTAAGAAGTTAGAATAACACCAAACCACAAATGTTTCACACATACACTGTTCAGTTTCTCTCTTCATGTGTAATTCTATGTTTTGCTTCAATGGAAATTGGTGCACTTTGGCCATAATTGTTTCAAAACTGCTAGCTAATTATGACCTTTTGAAAACAAAGTTTACAGATTGAATGTGACATTTTGCTATGCCTGCAGAATATGAACGCCCTCTTGCACTGGCTGAAGCCCAGTAAAACCTAATAATGAAAACAACCATGTCCTAACTAGTGCTTTAACTGAACTGGAAGGCAATATTCACAGGTCTCTGCCCACTGGCCTCCAGTACAAAATACACACATTTTGGTACAGTTGTCTATAATGATATCTTTGTGCCACCATGGTGAAGTGATTAAAAGACAAAGGTTTTCTCACAAACCACATCATACAGCAGACAGCCATCCTACATGCTTTAGATGCATAAGCTATTCTGCTAGAACCAAAGATACATAATAATCATCAGCAGATGTAGATTTAAAGTCTCATGCAGTAAATCATACTCATATACATCATATACTACAATATTAATCAAGTCAACATGAACAAAAAGGCCTCAGAATAATAGAAAGATTAAACAGTTCCACAACTGAGCAGAGTCTGCTGATGAAGACAGTGTGATACTGTCAAAAGTTTATGAACATGTAAGTGGACCTTGAATCAAAAGTCAACTTTTTGGTGCAGTACGCAACAAACTGCAACAGGCAACACCAATACTATCTTTCAAATTAAATTTACAATTAACAAGTCATAATCATGAATCTTTGCATGTGCAACATCAAATCCCTCTTTGCTTGGCCTTGCCTGTGTGAAGGCTACACGTCTAATGAACACTGTAGTGAAATGTGTATGTAGTTACTGGAATAAGGTGTGGAGAACTAAGGAGTGGTCGATTAAAATTACTTTACAGTTTCAATATCAACCCGTCACCCATTCAAAATGATCCATAATGGCCAATCGTTATTGTTTAGATGATTTTAAAATGACACATTCCCAGCTGCAGTATGACAAAGGCTGCAGTGAAAGTCGGGACATGCAGAAAAGTTAGGTTAAAAGTTCTGCACAAGTAGAGTTACGATCACGTTCTCCTCTCTCTCTCTTTTTCTTTCTCACTCTCTCTCTCACTCACACACACACACACAAAACAGCCTTTACCAGAAATAGTTCCAGCCTACTGCCTGTCACAGTGCATGGATTTCAATGGAGCATACTCAACCATATTCCCACCATCTGTCATGATGATTTGAGAAGAATAGCAGCTATAACTGTACTTAAAACATAAAAGACTGAGTGTGTGCATGCATGTGTGTATCGGTGTATATTTATGTTTCCTTTGATATAGTCCTCTGCTACCATCTACTGGAATTAAAACCCCATGACAAAAATCCCCCCAATTCTAACTTTAAATAAATCATTAGTATTTATATTTATTATTTTATTCATGACATATTTTACTTGTGTTACGACCGGCTTGCACCAAAGGAGGGAGATGCACACCAAACAAACTCAAATTTATTAAAGTATTTAACAATAATGAGTGAAATGAGGTGTGGAAGTCAGGATGATTAAAGAAGATCAGAGCTTAATGGATGGCGAAGCGACTGACACATACTGGTATCTGGGCAGGCAGGCTTAAGTAGCTGAAAACATTGGCCAGGTGTTCCCAGTTAACTTAATGGCATCTTTGCTCATTCCAGCCAAGAACCTGCAAGACACACAACACACATACACAGCACACCAGACCAAAGCTTTGGGAGCGTCACAGTTTAGTTTTATCTTATGAAATATTTAGTGTTGACCAGATTTAAATCAGATTTCACATTTAAAGCTTAGTCGCTAATTACATACTGCATATGCAGTACATAATTTATGAGCAGAAAAATCTATGATCACATCTACAGTCTCATCAAGTGAGAATTCAGTCAAAATAAATGTATTTCACAGAAGGATGAAGAAAGACCTAAAACACAGAAGCAAAACATGGTTTAACTGTTAGGAGAAGGTTAAGGAGTCCATCTTGCACTGTTTGACTCCCAGTTGTTGTTTTTTTTTTCATCCCCAGTTTTAAGTTTTCTAACTTTGAATACATTCATGTGAGATGGGATGGTTTGACTTTCTTTTCTCTGGTTTTTGAATTGGTCTCACATTTATTTCCAGGTAGCATTAACAGTTCCTAAAAAATATCAGGTTTGCACTTTAGAAATCTGCAGATAGCCTATTTCCCAGCTGCTTAGACACTCTCTGAGACTCCCAGGAGTTTGGTCTGCCTTCTCCCGACGCTGAAATAAAACACAGTGGTTAAAGCCATGGAACTGGAGCGAGGCCATAGACAATACTCTGCTGTGTTTCACTGTTAAACCAAATCATTGCTGTAAGGATGACTGTATTAAAGGTCCAGTGTGTAACATTTAGGAGAATCTACTGGCAGAAATGGAATATAATATTCATAGGTATGTTTTCATTAGTGTATAACCACCTAAAAATAAGAATCATGTTTTTATTATCTT